AGAAAGTAAAGTACGCTTCTAAGGCTAAACAGCTATCGCGATCGGCGCTGGCAGAAAAAGGGGAGAGGGTTAGCAGAGCACACGAATTTAAAGCTTGCTATGCGTGTGGTGTCTAGCCCATTAACGGCTATCTACCTGTGCAGCTTGTACCGTAAGATAAGATAAGGCCCCGCCTCAGCATAAAACCCATTATCGCGCTAAGTCAATAATGGGCCATTTTCTTTTTTTTTCTACAAAATTAAATACCGTTTAATTTCGGTTATCACGTCCTCCTTACTGGAAGTTTTATTTTAAGCGAACTTTACGGCATTTTGGATTACCTGAACTTTTTGGTTTTTGAACAAATTTGTGTTGTTCAGTGCCATTTGAATATTAATGTTTATGATCTAAAACTCTCCGGCTAAGTTTTTTGAATCCTTCTAAGTGCGCTCGTTTAGTGTACCGCCTTTTTGAATCTCGAGTATAACCTTTCATTTTCATCTAATGGGGTCTTTAATACAAGCCCAAACGTCTTAACGTAACATCTAAAAACAGTCACCGACAAACTTATCAGTTATGGTCCAGATGGTATTTGGCGCTCAAAAAGCAATGAGCCTATTTACAGAATGTAGCTTGGATGAAAGACTTACTCTAAACATTTTATGAAGTTAGTGATATTTAGCAACGCCACTATTGCAAGATGAATGCTATCACCCTTCTGATTTTGATTCTGATTCCGGTATAACTGGGCCGTTCCGACATAACCAGCGTCTAGGAAATTATGCCCTCAGGCCTCGTCCACAATGCGCCGAAAAAATTTGAAAACACAGCTTTATTTCTACGGGTTGGCCTACCGTCCACACTAATCCGTCACGAAAACGTAGCGTATCGAAAACCCTCTTGAAAATGGAGGGATTTGAAAACGGCGGCCTTGCGTTTTAGATTGGGCGGAAAATATTTTTTAAAAGGAGCTTTTCGAAAACGATGAGGTCAGGATAATCATGCGATTTCCTTGCCTAAGTTTTCCTCAAACACAAATCCAAAATAACAGGTAATGGTTGCGTTCACAAATTTCTTCGATGTAGTGTGGATGGAAAACTTTTGATGCGTCTCAAACTAAAAAAACCCTTTTTTAAATTTCTTCGGCGTAGGTGGACAAGGCCTTAGTGTCTCTTTGTGGACGCCGGTATCGAATATCAGCAGTTGGTAAGAAGGTTTTGGTTGTTAATTGTGCCTTTAAGCAAGGTGTCTCTTTAGCAAATAAATAAGAGACAATTCAATAACAGTTTCATCTGTCATAAATTGTTATTTCCCACAAAGAAAAAACTACAAGAGAAATGATCAAAATATGTATAGGTTTCAGGTGAGGAGCGTAACAGACAGCGTCTCTTTCATCATATTTAAGGACTAATTACAGATCGACCGGTTCTTGCCTTGTAGCAGCTGCTTTCAATTTTAAGTTGGCGGTCGTCTGGTGCGAAGTTCGGAATAGAAAAACAGTTCGAGAACTAGTTCTTACAAAACCGCGACGTTACTTTATTATTCTCGTTACGAGATCGATGTTCCGAGATTTGTCGGCTGTATCGTAAAGCTCTAGACCTCCAACCGAATATTAAACATTCAAAATGGCCGCCACGGAAAAAAGAAACGCGTCGCGGGTATAGTTATCTGTTGTTCGTTCCAAATTTAGTGTGGTGGCCTCCTGTAAGTATTCTGGCAAATTTCATCTACCATTCTCTCTAACTGACCATAAAAAAAATTAGCCAATGAGCGCGCGACAAGTTGCACAGTTGTTGTATCAACAAATTGTGCAATCGAAAGAAGGCCAACAACAACAACAACAATGTTTTATTTACTCTAGACACATAATTCACATTTGCAAAGAAATAGGCCAGAGAAGTGGTCGGTTTTTCTGACCTAATTTGCTGCCAGAAATGATAAATTACCCTGAATAATAATAAAACTTTGTTAATTTTTACTTTCAGTCCAAGTGAGTTTTTGAGAATAAACGAAAATCATTTCTTTTAAAATTATTTACGCGAAATTGCATCGCTGATTTGTAATTTCACAAATTACAAAATTAGTCATTTGTGTCACTGAGAGAATATCCTGCTTATGAAATGCGTTTAAAAAGTTCTTGTCGAGTGAAGAAAGAACTCATTATACAATAAAATTGAAATGGTCGTCACATAACACCTGTTGTTACTGTCACAAAAGAAGGAGTTAATAAATGCAAACGCGGTAAGATAACATTTGCTTGCGTTATGTTTTCATTCTGAGGTCTTACTGCACAGTAATCTGTGCATGAAAACAACAGAAACTGTTCAGACATCAAACGCCGTTGTTTCAACGAAATCCTAGAAAAGTTCAGTGATTTCCTTTATTACTGAGCTTTTTTAAAATAATATAATTTTGAAATTTTGAAAAAACAGCGGCTAAATCCAATGTAACACATCAGTCATTTTGGAATCGCGGGTGAAAAGCACTTACATGTTAGAACAAACTGCTAACCATAGAAAAGGAGATAAGTAAAACATGTAGTAGGGTGGATTTATAGTATATTTCGGGCTTTTTATTTACCAAATAGAAGGAGGTTTCCATCTTCCATTTAAGAAATACTCCAGGAAAATATTTTTATCTCTTTTAGGAAATAAGTAGTGGGAAAAGTGGAAAATCTCTCGACTGTTCCGAAGAAATTACTCCCTTCGCCCGATCGCTACGTTAACTATAGGCGCTAGCTCTCAGTATACTGCAGCATATAGTCACTAGATCGACAAGCTTGTCTCTGATGAATAATTATATGTTCAGCTCAAGATGAATGGTAGCCCCCTTCCAAGCAATCGTTTGCTACCATAGACACTGCTCTAGTATATCAATGACAAATTGATCTCAATTGATGTTGTTGGGTTGTTATTTTATTGAACAGATGCCTCATCTGCGACTGACGTGAAATGTGAAATAAAGTCATCCTCTTGCCCACCAGGGTGTCAGTACACAAATCCCATCGCAGTAGATCCAGATTCCAACATCACTCTCAACTGCTCGATGATCACACGAGGACTGAAACCAGGCATGACCTGGAGGCAAGCGAAGAAAAAAATCCAGAACAGTATTGGTTCACCAGACTTGGTATTGCTGCAGTCAAATTCAACAAAGGACAGCGACACTATGTCATGTGACTGTACCAATATAAGCTTCACACGTAGGTGTTTCTTCGCTTGTTTTATCTTTGCTTTCATTAAGTTCTGCAACAAAAGGGATTGCACTCTTAACATTTCTCGCCTGACGCATAGTGTAAATTTCGACTTCTGTAGCCAACCCATATTGTCTGTTGCCTTTGAAAATTAAGATCCAAATAGAAATGTTTTTATGACACACCACTCTTGGCAACAGTGACATACATTTGTCAGCTTATTATGGTTTGGCAGCTTATTTGAAACTTTGAGTGAGGGATGGCCAGGCCAAGATTTTGTCATACGGCAACTTCCGGTTTAATTGGATCCGGTGAAATGTGGTTATACAGCGGGCAATACGGTTAAATGGTACATTTTTACACTGTTGTCTCATTATCTCTTTGAGGTTTCATGAAATCAAAAAAAGTCTCAATAGGTTAAATGTTGGATATGTGAAGGAATTCTGCAAAAATTGTGTTTTTATCATTTTTAAGATTTGCATGAGCTAGATGAAGGGAGAAAAGAATGGTGGAGTTGAAATAAGGATTTCATATAAATTTATGTCAGATGTTTTTAGTTCATAACTAATAAATGGACATGACATGTCAGATTATTCCAATAGCATTGAATGGCATGTTATGTCACGATATTTTGAGTTAGTTTGGCCACATACAGAACTACCTTTAAATTGGAGGAAACTTGAAAATAATAGTTTGCCAAGATAGAAAAATATCAAAGAGATAATAATAAACCATGAAGTAACAAGGGTTGTTAAGGATGGAGAGGATTGGACTGTTACAAACGACAAACTTAAATAATTCGGAATAAACTTTTCAAGATTTGCAAACCATGACGTAGCTATTTAAGGCTGGTTTCCATCCGATCGCTACGATCGCTGCGAAAAAAATTGTAGCGATCGATCTCTTCGGCGACCGTAGCCATGGTGAACGGAGATAGACCTCAGTTCTACCTCAGCAATCATAGTGATCGCTGCGGCATAATACGGAAACCACGCTCTACAGATATTAGCGATCACTGCGATGAAAAATATACCAGAGATTCTGAGTGCAGTGCGCCGTTGCTTCGTCTAAGTCCTCCAGGGCAGTTTAATTTGCAGCGATATCGTGGTAGTCATAGGAACAGGTAGCCGTAAGGATCGCTCAACCGTTTGTTGGAGCGCAGCAATCGTAGCCATGGTAACGATCATATGGAAATTAGCCTCTATGGAATATATGACTCTTGATATATAATGAATCCTTTCATATTCAGATATTTCTTTTACGCATGCACTGACTTTTGTAAAAATATTCTCCACTCTAGATGCACCGAAAGTTTATTGGTGCTCCAAAACTCCAACTTTTTTGATCGAAGGAAAAAAACCAGACGATTTGGAATGCCATTTGTCGGGATGGCCTCTCGAAGTTTATTGGTACAAGGATGACAAAATAATCACGAATGGAACTGAAGGCATTTATCATTCAGTGGACAAGATGCGGGAAAATGGAGAGGGAACTCTTCGTAGCAGACTTAGTCTTCCTGTAGGACGTGAAGACCTGGAAGGAACCTATAAGTGCTGTGCGAAAAACAGGATTTCTGGCCGGAGGGACTCTAAAACCTTGCAGTATGAATATGTGTGTAAGCAGAAACCCATAACCACTTAGTGGTAACTAAGGGAGTTACTAGTAGTGGAGTGGAGTAGTGGAGCGGAGCGGCGCGGCGCGGCGTGGCGTGGAGTGGAGTGGCGTGGAGTGGCGTGGAGTGGAGTGGCGTGGAGTGG